GAAAGAGAACTGGCACCTCCCGGCAAGGCTCCCGCTAAGCTGTGGAGTCCTGTGAGCAAAACTTCTATCTTGTGAGTTACTGGCATTAAAGTTGTGAGCGAGCGATTTGGCCACTGCATGAATTTAGTTTGCTCTTCCTGAGCGGAGACAAAAATGTGTGAGCTGGGGGCTAAAAAACTGTGAGCTAGCTCACACCAACTCAGCTTAGAGGGAACACTGCCTCCCGGCAGGTTCTGACCCAGAAGGCCTTTCTGGAAGCCCAAACCAAGGGCCTCCCCCCCAACCTTGCACAAAAAGGAAAGCCCCCCCCCCCACCTGGATCTGACCATTAGGCCACCTGACCCAGAATCCCCTTCCCAACAGGATCTGCTCAGGGAAGTCCCCCTAGCAACAGACTCCTTCACCCCACAGCTGGCTACTCCCCGTTATGTCTCAGCCCGAGGCCTTTGAGAACCCCTTGGGGAGCCCGGCTATCAGCCATCATTAGAGGCTTGCCTGCCCCCTTCAACGCGCCCGACCCTCTTTTCGACCCACCGAAGCCAGCGGCCACCATGACCGCTTCTCGTGGCAGGGAGTTCCACAGGTCAGGCAGGCCTTGGCTAAAGGGAGCCATCATCCCTGGGACGGGCTGCAGCGAGCTCCCAACCGCTTCCCCAGGCTGGCTCCGAGAGTCCTGGCGTTCCCAGGCAGGGAGGAGGCAGTTGCTGCCCACTTTCTCTCCCGCATTTCGATAAGCGTTCATTAAAACCCTGTTGGAGTTTCAAGTTGCTTACACTTCAGTCATTACAGAGTTAAGTGTTTTGTTAGGAAACAGGATGTTACGTTACATAATGTATTCAAGGCGGGAAAGTTTGTGGGAGTTGTTTATCCTAATGAAGTGAAATGCTTTGATCTAGCATTAATGTATTCACAAGGTTTATGGCCGTTTGTGTGAACCAAAGAGGAAGCTCTCTTCTAGAAGCCAAGACAGTTAGAAAGATGTAGCTGTTAGCATATAGTACTGAGAGTAACTGCAAGTGGGGGAAAGAGCAACACCAGCAAACCAACCCCCCCAGCAGAGAGACCTCCTGCCCCGGAATCCACCCAGAGCTCAGGCGACGCATTTCGAGGTGTGTGTGGGAGGCACACACACCATTCAGGGGCGCGCCCCTCGTTTCCTATAAATCCCCTCCTGCGACTGCCATGCCGGACTTTCCCCAGACCCCTGCCCCGGAGCGCTTACAGACACGCCAGCTGAAGGCATGGGAGAAGGAAAAGGAAGAAATGTCCCCACCCAGCCCGTTTTTTGAGCCAAGGAAACGCATTTCACAGCGACACCCTTTGCTCTCTAAAGGTAAAGGTTACCTTGCTCGAAAGCCGGTCGAATCCGACTCTAGGGTTTCGTGTTCATCTCCGTTTCCAAGCCGAAGAGCCAGCACTGTCCGAAGACGTTTCCGTGGTCATGCGGCCGGCATGACTAAACAGCAAGGCGCAAGGAACGCTGTTCCCTTCCCACCGAAGTGGTACCTATTTATCTATCTACTTGCAATTTCTTGTTTTCGAACTGTTAGGTTGGCAGGAGCTGGAACTAGAGACAGGATCTCAAGCCGTCATGCGGCACACTCGGGTCTCGAACTGCTGACCTTCCACAGCCTGCAGTTCAGCGTCTTTACCACTTGAGCCACCAGCTCCTTTGCTCACTTCCCCCAGGGCAAATTCTGCACTTTCCCGGGGGAAGACCCCCACCCCCAAACACGTGAGAGCGTTGGCTCCCAAGAGGGAGGGACTCACCGGAGCAGCCCACCGCAGCCAGCAGGAGAGCAACGCCCCCCAGGAGCAGGAGCCCCCTCGGCGGCAAACCCACATCATGCATCTCTGCAGGGAGAAGCCGGCTTCTGCGCCCGCCCGGCCTCGCCACGCGCTTTCGGCCCAGCCACGTGGGGAGGGTCGCGGGGCGAGAGCCGGGATTGGCCGAGGAGGGGGGGATTCTCCTCCAATCGGAAAGAAGAGCCCCGAAAGTGTCACGCGTCACCGGAGTTAGGCTCGGAAGGGGAAAGAGAAAGTTGGCCCCGGACTTGGCCTGGGGTTTCCCCGCCCCCCCCCACTCCCCCTTGACTCTGCTGGGGGGGGGAATATAGATATGGGGAGGGCTGCCGGAGGAGGCGATGCGAAGGCTATTGCTGGCGGGGAGGAAAGAAAAGCCTTTGCAAAACTCCGTCCGGGCCCTGGTTGCATGGTGAGCTAGGGTTGCCAGCCTCCAGGTGGGGCCTGGAGATCTCCCGCTTTTACGGCTGATCTCCAGCTGACAGAGATCAGCCCCCCCCCCAGGAAATGGCTGGTTTGGAGGGCGGACTCGATGGCATTGGGCCATGCTGAGGCCCCTCCCCAAACCCCGCCCTCTCCCGGTAAGGTAAAGGTTCCCTTGCTGGAAAGCCAGTGGGACTCTAGGGTTGCGGTGCTCATCTCCGTTTCCAAGCCGAAGAGCCAGCGCTGTCTGAAGACATTTCCGTGGTCGTGGCCGGCATGACTAAACGCCAAGGCCCACAGAACGCTGTTACCTTCCCACCGAAGTGGTCCCTATTTATCTACTTGCAGTGTCTTGCTTTCGAACTGCTAGGTTGGCAGGAGCTGGGAATAGAGACGGGAGCTCACTCCGTCTTGTGACACCCGGGTCTCGAACTGCTAAACTACTGACCTTCCACAGCCTGCAGTTCAGCGTCTTAACCACTTGAGCCACCGCTCAAAGTCTCCAGATAATTTCCATCCCAGACCTGGCAACCCTGTGGTGAGTAGTGGGCGGGGGCACCGGAGGGCAGCAGGATCCCACCCCCCACGGGGCTAGGAGCAGAAATACCTGCGGAGTGCCCTGGGTGGGCAGCCTGCCTTGCTGGAGTTCTGCATCAGGGGAGAGGTCACCCCAAGACCTGCTCTCCGGGGTCTCTTCTTTAAAGCATTTATTTCCTAGGAGTCCTCCCCCCACCCCCCAGCATCTTAGCTTCATTTCTGGGGTTCTTTCTAGTCCAACCTGCTTCACTCGGGCTACTGCTGCGCCCCCCCCCCCCCCGTATGGGGCAGGTGGTGAAACCCGGGATAAGGATTTGAGGCTGAGGCCAAAGCCTTGGGGGCTTCTTGGTCCACACTTAATAATTCAAATTGTATAGAGGATGTGGAGGATAAAACGGGAGTAGAGTCAGACCTGTAGCCAGGATGTTCTGGCTTGCTGGGCAATTTTTTTCTTCTGGTGGAGCTGAAGTTCTCCATGCAGAAAGAAAAGCCACTGAGCCAATAGAAAGCTGTTACCAGGTTGTTGTTGTTCAGTCGCACAGTCGAGTCCGACTCTTCGCAACCCCGTGGACCAGATCCCGCCAGGCCTATGACACTGTCTAACCATCTCATCCTTTGCCATCCCCGCCTTCTTTGACCTTCAATCTTTCCCAGCATCAGGGTCTTCTCCAGTGAGTGCTCCCTTCTCATTGGGTGGCCAAAGTCTTTGAGCTTCAGTTTCATTATCTGGCCTTCCAGGGAACAGTCAGGGTTGATTTCTTTTAGGATTGACTGATTTGATCTCCTTGCAGTCCAAGGGACTCTCAAGAGTCTCCTCCAGCACCATAGTTCAAAAGAATCTATTCTTCGGCGCTCGGCCTTCCTTATAGTCCAACTCTCGCAGCCATACATGACTACTGGGAATACCATTGCTTTGATCATGTTACCAGGAGAGATCTCTAAAGGGTGAGCTGCCAGCCATTTCAGATGACAGTTCTCAGCTGCCGCAAGTTAACCGGCTCTGCCAGCCTAAGCAACAATTCTGAGAACAAGCCGGCAGGTGGGGGTGATGAGTATTCACCCACCTGGAGGTTGGCAACTCTAATCTGTGCTGGTCTCCTTTGCCGTTTGCAGAAGAGAAGATGAAAGGGGAGAGGCTTTCTCCAAGGAACGGCAGAGGCCTGCCTGGTAGACGTCTAGACGGGCCAACACTGGCCAGAAGGAGATGAGCCCAAGTGTGAGAAGAAGAGAAGATATTGGATTTATAACCTGCCCTTCACTACCCAAAGAAGTCTGAGAGCGGCTTACAATCCCTTTCCCCTCCCCACCCCACCACACCACAGACACCTTGTCAGGTAGGTGGGGCTGAGAGAGCTCTCTCGAGAACTGCCCTTGAGAGAACAGCTCTGAAAGAACTTATGACTGACACAAAGGAAGGGCACATTGGGGTCCCCAACATGGTGCCCACGGGCACCGTGGCCCCCACCAACACCTTTCTCAGCATCCATCACGTGCTTTTAGAACATGGGTGCACCTCTTGCCCAGCAGGGCTTCTGACTGGCCATGGAAGAAACAGCTGGCTATGTAGATTACAACAACATGGCTTCAGCAGCACCTGCTACCAGGTCCTGACATTTTGCCAGTAGCTGTGACTGGCATCCTCAGAGGTAGAACACAGAAAGATGGAGTGCTCTCTGTCAAGGTGAGAAGAAAAATGGTAGGCAGCAATGCTCCCTCTAAGCTGTGGGGTGAGGAAAAATTCTACTTTGTGAGCTACTGGCATTAAAGTTGTGAGGGAGCAATTTGGCTACTGCATCAATTAGTTTGCTCTGGAGCCCTCCTTCCTGAGCTAAGACAAAAATGTGTGAGCTGGAGGCTAAAAACTGTGAGCTAGCTCACACTAACTCAGCTTAGAAGAAGAAGAAGAGAAGAGATTGGATTTATACCCCGCCCTTCACTTGGAGTCTCAGAGCGGCTTACAAACTCCTTTCCCTTCCCCTCCCCACAACAGACACCCTATGAGGTGGGTGGGGCTGAGAGAACTCTGAAACAAACTGCTCTTTTTCAAGGACAGCTGTGCCAGAGCTTGTGACTGACCCAAGGTCACATCAGCAGGTGCAAGTGGAGGAGTGGGAAATCAAACCCGGTTCTCCCAGATTAGAGTCCGTGCACTTAACCACGACACCAAACTGGCTCTCAGCTTAGAGGGAACACTGGTAGGCAGGTAGTTTATATCTACTCAGGAAGGTGGGGTAGGGCTGAGTCGTTATCTTGTAGGAGCTCCCCAGGCTTTGAACATGCTAATGGAGGAGCTTTCCTGAGGTTCTTTTGTCTATGGATTGTTTCCTGAGGAGGTTCTTTTGTATGTGGATTGGCTGTTGAAATTCTAATCTTATCTGTAGTGCTATTGTTTTGTATTTTTAAACTCTCTTCTTTCCTGTTGAAATGGTGTTTATGTTAATGAATTTCTATGGCTTCCCTGCATCATCTGACATAGTAATTGGAAGTGTTGTCCGGCCTTTAAGTGTCTTGGAACAAAATACTGTGTCCTGTGAGTTAGGCTATGTTCAGCCACTGCTGATTTTTCAGGTTGCCAAATCTGCAGTGTCTTTCATGTTCTTTTATTCTTGTCTGAATGCTACGCTGTGTACTTGTCCACACCTGCATGGAATGCGGTATACTCCTGCAGACGTGAGGTGGTCTCTTCGGTCTTTTGTCGATCGTAGCATCTGTTGTATTTTTCTGGTGGGTCTGAATACTTGTTTGTAGGTTGTGTTTTTTCATAAGTTTTCCCATCTGATCAGTGATTCCTTTGATATATGGTAAAAACACTTTTCCTGTGGGAGACTGTTTTTCCTCAGTTGTTTGTTTTACCTTTGGTTTAATCGCTCTTCTGATTTCATTCTGATTTCATTCTGAGGATGCCAGTCACAGCTACTGGTGAAACGTCAGGACCTACAATGCCAAGACCACGGCCAGATAACCCAGAAAATCTACAGCAGCCAATGAACTCCGGCCATGAAAGCCTTCGACAACATATAGTTCCTCCTTCCTTCATGTCCCGTATTCTTCAGTTTGTATACAGCTTGCCTTACGGTTAAAGACTGATGCAAAGTGAGAGTTAAGTAATTCTGCTTTGTTTTCATCCCTTGTTAAGGCTTGACCGTCTTCCCCTAGCAATGAGCTTACCCCATCCCTGTTTTTCTTTTTGCTCCAAACATAGGCATAGAAATCTTTCTTGTTATTTTTAGCATCCCTCACAAGCCTCAACTCCATCTGTGCTTTAGCCTTTCTGACACCATCCCTACAGATTTGAGCCTGCTTCTTGTACTCACCCTCAGTAATTTGTTCCTCCTTCCATTTCCTGTACATTTCCCTTTTTAGTCTCAGCTCTTCAGAGAGTTCCTTGTTCAGCCAGCTCGGCTTCATTACCCGTCACCTACCTTTCCTTCTCACCGGAACAGTTTGAGATTGTGTCTTAGGCACAATCTTTATTTCTTTATTTCTCTCTTTAATATTCCCTATAATAACCTTTGATAAATATAAATTGTTTCATTTCTTATTTTAAAAAATATTTTTATTAAAATACATAAACAAAACTTATTATCGTCCAAGAATATAAAACATTTTGAATACAATTACAAATAACACACTTTACGATAATAAGGATTAGAGGGGAATAGTTTTGTTGTACACAAATACTCAACAATAGGAGACCACAGAGTGTAATAAATATTTGTTGTCTACAGAACTCAATGGAAGTTGATGCATTAGTATTTTTCCCCATTATAAAAGGTCCCATAATTTAAAGGCCAATTGTTCAATCGAGGGTGTTGAAGAATCTTTCCACTTTGCTGCAAGTAAAAGTTTAGCAGCTGTTAACAACATGGCCAGGTTCCAGAGTCTATTTTATTTAATTGTAGGACAGGCCAATATTCTAAATGAACCCTTTCTGGTGCATTATCTAGGCAAACACCTGTAATCTGTTCTATTTGGAAAATATTTAAATCCCCAAAATCATACATTTTAGCGTAAGCTCACCAATTATGCAAAAAGTCAAAAGATCGTCCACATAACTTCCAAAATTTATCAGAACCACTTTTATATATT